GCCATATATATATATATATATATATATATATATATATATATATATATATATATATATATATATATATATATATATATATATATATATATATATATATATATATATATGATCCCTACCTAATTATTGTGTTAAACAGGCTATACCCAATACTCACAGTTACAAAGTAACAAGCCTAACATGTATGATAATTAACTATTATGTTATATGTGGGACCTGCAAGTTGGCGTGCCTATATGTATACAGTCGTGATTATGCTAAATATGCAACTCAAGACTCATCATGGTCATACGAATCACAAAGTTGAACACTTATCACGATTCAAGACGCCAAATCCTACATGGATTCTTATCATACCGTTCTAGACGTACGAAACATTAAGAAGACACTCAAATAGCCCTACAAAAAAACATCGGGAGGTCATAACATCAATTACCGAGTCAAAAGAATCACAGGGAATAAATTCCGACCAACACTAAAGTTGTACTCCGTGGGTGTGGCCACGGGTGGACCTCCACATGTGGTTCCGCCCGCGGGAACCACACCCACAACCCTTCGTTCCCCGCGGGTGGGGCGGCGGGTGGTTCCCTGCCCGCCGTTCCGCCCGCGGGTACCAACCTGTGTCCAAAATAATCCCTTTGGGGATTTTCACCAACAAGTCCAAAACACCCAAAATCTCACAAAATACAACATTATGACTTGAATCCAAGAAATAGCCAAGCAATGGCATACAAAAACCCTAATAAAAAGCTCTAGATATGCATTACCACAAGACAATGCATCAAATCTCACATTTCATAACAAAAATCACAAGTAGAAGTCAAGAAATCATCATATAGGTAAGAAAATAGATTTTGTAAAGCATGGGTTACCTTTGTAGCCTAATTCTTCACTTTTCACACCCTTAAAAGCTTCTCTTAAAGATCTCCTTCAACTCCAACTTCATAAACACACCAAAAGACAACAAAGATTCTATCTTTAGAAAAAGACACCTAAAAAGATACTAAAAACACCATGAGATCACGGATTTTACCCTCCCCTATGCTCAAGCTTAAGAAAGTATGAATCTTGGGGACCAACTTGTAGAATCTAGGATTGCCCAAAACTTGGCTTGAAGAAGAAGCTATCAAGTTTCTAGAGAGAAGGTGGAGCTTTTGTGTTTAGGGTGTTAGGGAAATGAAATGAAGGATGATGCTAGGTTAGCTTGGGGCACAAACATAAGGTAAAAAGACTTCTTTGTCCTTACTAAAGTTGGAAGAATAAGGAGATAAGGGAACAACTCATAAGGCATAGAGTACAACTCTTTGACTTGGATTGACTAGTCAATTTCTAGTCCTCCGACTATTGAATTGTCAGGACTCAGGACTTTAGGAATAAATTACCAAATAAACTAGGATTAATTATCTAATTAATCCTTAAATAGATTTTGGATTTACGGGGTGTCACATGCACCCTATTTATACTCCACTATTCTCATTGTTTCTCCTGATCCCATCCTTGCCTCTCTAAGCTTTGGTAGAAGAAGAAAACTTACAGTAAGCATTCCAACCACATTCTCATCCATCCATTCCTTCATCTTTCCTATAGGTTTCCATCTTCCTTGCTTCCAATCTCTGAGTTACTCCTTAAGTTTGGTTTGTGTGGTTTGTTTGGGGAGTTTAGGTGTTGAAGGAAGTGTTGTCTAAGTGGAGAAGAAGGAGTAGAACCACACAGGATGAGGAACAAACAAAGGTATAACCCCATGGACTCCCTTTAAGTTTATCAGACTATGTGAAGTCTAAATAGTAGATGAAATGTTAGAAATGCTAGTTTATTGTTGTGTTTGAGCTATTAAGTGATCTATTGTTGATCTATGATGTGTTGTTGAGGATTTGAGAGTGTTAGATTGCTTGAAATTGCTTTATAGGTGAAGAAGAAACCATCTGGTGCACACTGTCTGTGCACCAGACAAGTTCACGGGACTAACCAACGGCCGTAGGCAGGGGCCATTGGCAAGCCCCGTGGAGAGGCGGCCTTAGGGCACGGCCCATGGCTAGGGCCGTGATCCTGAGCTGTTGCGTGGCGGAGCCAAGTGGCGGGCCTCCTCAAGCCCCGCCGCAAGCTCCGGCAGGCCAAACCAGTGTAGTGGCCGGACCCTTTGTGGCTCAGCTACGTGTCGTTCGGACCGGGACTCGCGGGCCCATGAGGCTCGGACACCCGGGATCGTCACGATGCACTAGTAGAATTTGACTTCGTTGATTTTGGAGTTGAAATGAGTATTTTGCAGTAGGAATTGTGAAGTTGTATGCTATAGAGTAATTTGTGTATATTTACAGAGAATGAACTTGTGAAGTATCTTAGACTTAGCTAATTGAATGAAAAACATGATCAATATTTGGTAAGTTTTTCTAGATAAGCATGCCTAAATGCCTATTATGACTTGTTGAGATTTCCTGCCAAGGTTTAGAAATGTTGAAGTGTTCAGAGCATGATTTTGCTTGATTCCTAGCTTACAGTGAATGAGTTCATGTTGAGTATTTTGAATTCAAGTGCATGTCCAATACTTGCTAAGTGTTTGTCAAGGTGAATTGCTAAGTAATGAGTTTTAAGCATGATTATACACTTGTTTGAGAATTCACAATGGAAGGGGAATTGGAGCATTTCTTACCGTAAAGTTCATATTTGAGCATATCATGATTTAAAGTGCATAAGTGGCTTAATGTAAGCCTAAGAGTCCTTTCAAAAACTTATATCTATTTTGGGAAATCATTATCTAGTTGCATTGAGAAGTTGCATGACATTTGATTTCTAATTTGTAAGAAAAGAGAAGTTGATGAGAAACCATGTGCATAAGTTTTTGCATAAGTTAAGTTGTTGCATGAGATTGAATTGCATGAGTTATATTTATATGTATCTAGTGTGAGTAATCCGAGGTTTTGGAGGTCGTTAGGACTATGTTCTTTCGGAAGAAAAGAGAAAGTAAAGAAAGAAATGGACATTGTGATCCGATATGAAGTAACGAGGTCGATATTCCCGAGTTACTAGGTTGGAGACTTCCCGCCGGGCTTGGAATCCTGGTTAGGGGGTGTGCACACTAAAAGTACGATACCTGATTCCACAGAGAAAACAAGCAAGAAAGAAAGATTAAGAACCAAAAGAGTGGTTATGTGGGCGAGTTGAGTATTAAGCCGGCTAGACTGCCGAGTCTGTATAGGTCTTTTCACGAGTCATGAAGGTCCTACCTCCCCCACGAGTTAGACATTCCGTTGATATGGATGTGGCGGATGCACGAGATTGCACCGTACGCTAGGGCTTCGCTGTGGCGGAGTACCTGCCTCACACAAGAAGAGAAAAGTGAGTCAAGGTGACTCAAAGAAAGAAAGAAAGAAAGCGAGTCAAGAGATTCAAGAGATTCAAGAGAAAGAAGAGAAAAGCGAGTCAATGTGACACAAAGAAAGAAAGAAAGAAACAAAGAAAGAAAGAAAGAAAGAAAGAAAGAAAGAAAGCGAGTCAAGAGACTCAAGAGAAAGGAAAGAGAAGCGAGTCTACGTGACTCAGCAGAAACCTCTACAGAAAAAGTATTTCTTTTTAAGAGTGAGAGTGTATATGTATATCTATCTATACCTACACTAAAGCATCATGTTCATCTTATTGCCTGGTTAAATGATTTGCACGTGTTACATGAAAGTAGGATAAAAAGCATGACATTATATTGTCTTACATTCGTATTTGATAGCATGAGATTACTTATTGAATTATATGATAGCATGAGATTGCTTATTGAGTTATATGATAGCATGAAATTGCTTATTGAGTTATATGATAGCATGAAATTGCTTATTGAGTTATATGATAGCATGAGATTATTTATTGAGTTATATGATAACATGAGATTGCTTGTTGAGTTATTTGATAGCATGAGATTACTTATTGAGTTATATGATAACATGAGATTGCTTGTTGAGTTATTTGATATCATGAGATTGCTTATTGAGTTATATGATAGCATGAGATTGCTTGTTGAGTTATTTGATAGCATGAGATTGCTTATTGAGTTGTATGATAGTACGAGATTGCTTATTGTTAACATAAATGTTAGCATGAGATTGCTTGTTAAAGCTTAAGTATATTGTTAACTATCAATTTGAGTATGATTACTGTATATCGCCATGATAAGATAAGTATGTGAAAGCATGAGATTGTTGATGAGCTAAATGTTTGAGAAAGTATGCCTATATGATAATTAGGTTGTAAGCATATATAAACCATGTTGAGCATGTTGCTTAAGTGATTGAGAATACTTGATCTAACTGAGTGAAACAAATGTTTTCCAAAAGTATATATTGTAGTATTTTACAGGGTTGAGTGGCGTTATACTTAGCTTCGTGCTAATGGGTTGTTTTCTACTTGTTGTTTGTTAACCCTTTTCAGGTAGGCCCAGTGTTTGAGCATGCACGAGCTAGTTTAGGGCGTAGTTTTTGAGTTGTTAGATTCTAGTGTAGAATCTTTTGAACTTGGATGTTGAGATACTACTAAACCTTTTGTTGGTGTTGAACACCGGGGCTTTGTTCCCCAAGTTTGGTTGTAGTTTATTTTTGAGCTAGACTCTAGTCACTACAAACAAACGCGAAAATAGCGACGGACCGATACCGTCGCTAAATAGGAGAAATCAGTCGCTAAAGTGATTAGCGATGGATTAGCGACGGAATCTGTCCGTCGCTAAAAAGCGTGTCGCTAGATCTTAGCGACACAAGTTAATTCCGTCGCTAAAGTTAACGACGGAAATTTCCGTCGCTAAACGAAAACAATCCGTCGTTATTTTCCTCTACGCGACGATTTAATGACGAAATTTGCAAGGGAATAGCGACGGAATTTTCCGTCGCTAATTTGTTTGTTATTTATACATGAATGCCATTTAGCTACGGAATTTTCTGTCACTAAATTTTTAATTTTTTTTTTTAAATATGCCCACTAATTATTATCCCATACATGTATTAAACCTATAATATAGTACTTTAAAAATATAATTGCAAATATATTATATTAAAAAATTCAAACTCAATTAACAACAAAAGTATAACATTGTACATTGTTACATCGCTAGAAACGCTATCAAATTTATTAATACACACATCAATTTGGTATTCGCAAAATTTTCTTGTAGAGTAGTTACATTGCAAAATCGTTTTCAAGTAAACAAGCAAAAGCTATTCAACCTAGGAAAACACTCTTTTAATAAGTCTTTGTAATGAGCCACCCATTCTTGCACCAACTGCTTCTGCCAAATATGTTGCTTGCAGTAGTTGAAAATTCTTTCTTAAATCAAACGTTCAGAATGGGGAATCTTGTCAAAATCGCTTTAGGAGCACATGCAGAAAGATTCAAAGAAAAGGAAATTAAACCAAAATTGATCACAAAATAAAATACCACTATTTTTACCTCCTGTGTAATCTTCCTCGGGTCAAAAGCATCATTTATTCGATCATTCAAGAACACCCATTTATCATGAAAATCTGTAATAAGAAGAATGAGTACAAAGTTAAAATTTTAAAAAACCAATTTAATACAAGGTGACACCAGCAACCAAGATATGTCCATTTGCATACAGTAGTGCACAGGCTCCTAGTATCATATCCTGTTGCTCAATGAAATTGATGAATGGTAACATTTTCACCTGTATGATAGCCAATCACTCAAATCCATCCACCAAAATGCCATAGACCAAGATTCTTGCAAGTTTTCCTTAACCCACAAAAGCTTAATTACACACATAAAAAAAAAAAAAAAAAAAAAAAAAGAAAGCAGCTACATGTTATTCAACAAAGATATTTTGTTCAAGCAAGTGAAAGTAATTTCACTCAGTTATCTAGCAATAGAAAACAAAGTGTATAAGATGGCAAGGAGAAGGAATCGTATCCATAATTAAGGTAAACTAGTCAGTTTCTCATATTCATCTAAACTAGAGAAGAAAAAAAAGGAAAATGAAACCACAAAGAGTATTATCATCACAGCCTCCAGGCTTTATTTTATTTATTTATTTATTATTTATTTTGAGGGAAAATGAAGGATGAGTTGCTCACTAGCTCAGTAAGAGTTTGCAACAATTACCATCAGTAGTAACAGCAATAGAAGCACTTGCAGTAAGGAAGAAATCATTGGCTTAGCAAAGCAGGCAAACCAACTCTCTACTCTGAAATCTCATTTAGTTTCCTCTAAGGTGAACCCTTTGCAATTCCATTTTCTTTCTGCCCCCATTTCCTACCCATCTAAACACAGCATAAGAATACATAGAAATTGCCAGTTCCCACAGTTTAAAAAAAAAAAAAAAGTGTTGTTGCATCTGCACAAATGTTGTAGTCACAAGCCTACTAGAGAAGAGCAACCGCCCTTTCAAAACAATCTTATCTCATTCTTTGAGCAAAAAATTTAAAGAAAACCTCAAGTGTTTGTTTATGTTTCTCATTCAATGGAGAAAGAAGTTGGACAGGGAATTCTTACCAGATGGTTGGGTTGTTCTTTTGAGACATTTCAACAAACACTCATTGTGCACCACAAACTCATGTTAAGTAAGTAGTTTGCTATCGACATTCTCTAACAATATTAACACTTAAAATTTCTCAAAATTATGGCAATTCCTATACAACAACAAGAAGAGTACATCCATACTTACAATCCTAATAACGTAAATATGAAAAAATAAAAAAATAAAAAAATATGTACCTGAAGGAAATGCAAAGCCGAAGCTGGAGATGCCGCGCCGCTGGAGGGAGGTCGTCGCTGGTCTTCTCACGCTGATACGCTGGTCTGCGTCACCGCTGGAGGTCGCTACTGGTCTGCTCACGCAGCTACGATGTCTCCCATGCAAATTCTTCGTAGACGTCTCCCTTCGTCGTCACGTCGCTGCTCAACCTCGTTATCATCGGAGCTGCTCTCTGCGATGGTTGACATCGCAGCTACAGGTCACTACCAGTTTGCTCACGCCTTGCCAACGTCGACGCTACACCTTCATCGTAACTGCCATTGCTCGAACTCTCAAGAGATGGAGAGGGCAAGGATATGGTTAGGGCAAATAAAATGTTGAGGGTTGCTGAAATAGCGTTATTTTATTTTTTTTTTCATATTAAGATTAAAGTTAGAGACGGATCATCAGTCGCTAATATATTAAAAAAATTATGGCCTAATATAAAATAACGACGGAATCGTGATTCCGTCGCTAGATTTAGCGACGGATTCAATAATCTGTCGCTAAACAATACCAAATAAAATTATTATAAATTTTGGAATCGGTTCGTGAAAAATCCATCGCTATATTTTTGCGCTAAATTTTGCTACTAAAAGTAACTACGTAGTTAATGACGGAAAATTTCCGTCGCAATATCCATCGCAAATTCATCGCTAATCCGTTGCTAAATGCCTATTTAAAACAAAATTTAAAATCCGTAGCTATTTGGTCGCTATTTTGTCGCTACTTTAGCAACGGAAAAAATCCGTCGCTAAATCCGTCACTATATAGACATTTTTTTGTAGTGAGTTACATTCCTTTTGTAGCCTGTGCAGTCACCGTGGGTGGTGACTGTGGCGGTGACACCTCTTAAAGTTGTTTAGTAAGTTTAATACGCTTGTTTAGTATCCCTTTCTATGCTAAGTTTTGTTAGTAAGGTTTAAGAAAAGTGGGGTGTTACACTTCCCATCACAAGTATATCATCAACATAGACCAAAAAATACACATATGCAGAGTCCTGTGAGTTTTAGAATAGAGACATATCCGTTTTTTATGCTTGAAACCAATAGGTAGTAAAAACGTATGTAAACTATTAAACCAAGCTCGATGAGCATGTCTTAAGACATACAAAGAACGCTTAAGCAAGAAAACATGATTGGGATATTAAGCATCAATATAACCAGGTGGCTGCTTCATATAAACCGTTTCATACAGATTTCCATTTAAGAAAGCATTATGAACATCAAGTTTCCTGATAACCTAACCAGAAGATAAAACCAAGGAAAGAAGCAACCTGACAGTAGTGAGTTTTACCACATGGCTAAACGTATCAAAGAAATCATGTCTAGGCACCTGGTTGAATCCTTTTGCTACTAATCTTGCCTTGTGTCTCTCAATAGAACCATATGCCTTTCGTTTAGTGCGGAATACCCACTTACATCCGATAACATTCATATCTGCCCAGAGGGTACAAGACACCACGTTTGATTATGTAGAAGAGCATTGAATTCCTGGTCCATAGCCTCATGCCACTCTGGATATTTTATTTCCTGAGTGTAACAAGTAGGATCTGGGGGGACAAACCTGAGCACTCAAAGCTGTGGGTGGTGTACTAGTGCCTGAGATCGACTACGAGTGACCATAGTGTGTGTGCGAGTGGTAGATTTTACTGTCTTTCCTCGCAGACGCCCCTTGGGTCGAGTGGAGACAGTAGCTAATGTGTCAATTTGCTGCACAGTAGTACTCGCAGGCTGATCTGACGGGAGTACGCCCGCGGGAAGGTCCCGCGCGGTACCCGCAGGCTGACCTGGCGGGAGTGTGCCTCTAGCGGGAAGGTCCCGCGCAGTACCCGTAGGCTGGTCTGGCAGGAGCTTCCCTGCTGCTAGTTCTTCTTGCGGAGGCACCGACAGAGTATGCTGTAGTATCGATTCCGCCCATAGAGTGCTCTAAGGAGCCTCTGGTGTCTGCAAAACATTCTTAGTGGCAAAGGAAAAAATAGCCTCATCAAACCGCACATGTCTGCACACATAAATCTTATTAGTCTGTAAGTCAATGCACCTATAACCTATGAATGACTTAGGATAACCTAGAAAGACACACGCAGAAGACCTGTAGGACATTTTATGACGATTGTATGGCCATAAGTAGGGATAAAATAAACACTCGAAGACACGAAGAAAAGAGTAGGATGTAGGGGATTTATGCAGGAGTAAGTGAGGACTGGAGTTATTTAACACAGTAGATGGCATCTTGTTAATTAAATACACAGCAGTCTCAAAAGAAAAATCCCAGAATTTATATGGAGCAGAGGCACGAGCCATGAGGGTTAGACTTGTTTCAACTATGTGTCAATGTTTTGTTTCGACACGATCATTTTGTTCATGAGTGTAGGCACAAGACTGCCTATGAGTGATTCCTAACTGGACAAAGGAATGGTGCAATTTTTTGTATTCAGCTCCTAGGTCAGATTGAATGGATTTAATTTTTCTATTGAAGGAATGCTCAACCATAGTACAAAATTTTTCAAAGATGGTATAAAGTTCAGATTTTTATTTCATGGGATAGTACCAAGTGTAACGGGAGTGATCATCCACGAAAATAACAAAATAACGATAGCCATCAGTGGACAATAAAGGAGCTGGACCCCAAATATCTGTGTATATTAAATCAAGAATATTTGAACTAGATGACTCAACACGTGACAGTGGGAATTAGGCAAATTTCTCTAACTGAACGCATTACATAGACCCGAATTACAGCGAAAAGAATTACTAGACCTACTAACCGAACAAGACTGAAGAATACGATGTAAGACTCGATGATGTAGACGTCCTAAGCGATCATGCCACACTGACTCGAATGCGCAAGCGGAAAGAAAAGCTGAAGGACACGAACTAGTGATAGGAAGCTTGTATAGACCCCTAGAGCTATTGCCCCGTAGTAGAATTTCCTTGGAATTGATATCCTTCACAAAAAAAAAAAAAAAAAAAAAAAAAAGAATGGTGAAACTCAAAGAACACTTTATTATCTGAAGCAAAATTTTGAACAGATAATAAAGATGTAGACAAACTGGGAACATGAAAGATATTTGACAATTGAAAAGACCTAGATGGGGTATTAAAGGAAGCATGACCAACATGACTAATAAATAAACCCTTACCGTCACTGACACGCAAGGTGTCATTACTAACATATTCCTTCGAGTTAGATAAGGCAGCAATATCTGGGGTCACATGGTTAGTTGCACTAGTGTCCGGGATCCACAGTTGAGTACTACCAATGTCCAGGCCATTATTCTGATAGTTAAATTGTCTTGAGCGGGAGGATCATAGCAATTATAACATTCAACCGCCTGATCATGACCAGTGCGCCTGCAAATCTAGCACGTAACCTGATTCCCTCTACCGCCGTTGCCGCAACCACGACCCCCACGGCCACGACCGCCTTGTTTCCGACCACCGCCACCACGCTGGTTGCCACCTCAATTCTAGTTCCCTCGACCAGACCTGCCGCCGCCACGCTGAGTCATAACGGCTGCCGGTGAACCACCACCGCCGCCCGACATAAACTCCTCCACGCCAAGAAGATCGGCGAGTTCCTAGAGTGTTATGGGTTGGCCGCGAACATTAAGGGAAAACGTGAGACCCCAGAATTCAGATCGTAATAACCCTCTAAGGACGTAGAGATTCTGTTCCTCGAGAGAGATTGATCAACTGATGAGGGCAAGCTCTTCAACCAAAACTCTTGCTTTGTCGATGTAGTCAATGACGGATGCATCGCCCTGATGCAACGACTGCAGCTGGTTGAGAAGATTCATGGCGCGTGATCGAGTCAACGAAGCAAGAGAGGCCGCCCATACCGTTCGGCTAGTACGATGCCCGATGGTCAATGGCATCGCCTCGTCGGACAACGAGGACATTAGCATGGACAAGAATGCTTGGTCCTACCGCACCCAAGCCAGATGAGCAGGATTTGGTTGCGCCTGTGTATCCTCTTCGCCGGAAAGAAAAGCCGACGGACATGGGTTTGTGCCATCAACAAACCCCAACAAATCATGACCATCAAGTAAGGGAACAACCTGGGCTTCCCAAAATAGAAAGTTCTTGTAGGTCAATTTGATATTGATAAAGTGGTGTGCGGTGGACAAAGAAGTCACGGTCGATGTGACCGAAGAGATCCCAATATTAGAGACGGTACGTTCCGAAGAGTCAACAGATCCGTAAGCCATTAGGAAAGAAACCCTAGCTTAAACTGATACCAGATGAGAACTGATAGAATTGTATTGAATGAATGTAATTACAACCGTACAGATTGGGGGAATATATATACGAGAGAATAATACGAAGACAAGGATAGAGAGTCATAATGTGACTCAAATACAAAGAGTCCTATTACTAGTCCTAATAATTTCTACCCCTATATTACGCATACCTTAGCGGCTTGGCATAAAGGTAAACCCAAAAGAGAAAGGGTAAAATCTCAAAATATCTATATGACCAATTAAGTTTTTGTGGAATGTCAAAACCTCAAAACAATTCCTAAAAGATCCCTCTCCTAACCCTTAGCTTTTGGCTCACACTTTGAACTAGGGGTGGTAAATTCGGTTCGATTTTTCCGAATCAAATCGAGCTGAACCGCACTAGTAATATACTGAAAAATCGAACGGTAATGAATTCTTGTATACTGAACGGTTCAGTTAAAAACCGATTTGATCCGAACTGAACCGAACCGAATACTGTTTGTTTGTTTTAATAATAATAATAATAATAATAATAATAATAATAATAATAATAATAATAATAATAATAATAATAATAATAATAATAATAATAATAAAAGTAAATCCATGTCTCTTGATGCATGCTCCGTCGTTCAGTTCCTATTCTCATTGGTATCTCAAATTTGTTATTGTGAAAAGAGTCAAATAAGCCCTCGAAC